GATTTATGACTATGAAAAAAAAAATCATTCTAGCTCAAATAAGAACAACAAGAAATATAATCTTTAGAAAGTGAAAGGATAACAAAAATGACCTTTTCTCATTTCAAGCAAGGTCGATTAGAACTAATAAATTTTGACCTTATCTATTGTAATGATTTGAACTTGGAAGAATCATGATTCGCGAGTCTATAACTACTGAATCCACTACATGTCATTATACATACTGCTAAAACTTAGCTATACGAAGTGTGGTTCAATTTCAAGAGGTATGAGTTTAAAATAATTTGGTCACCTCATGCCATTTTCAAGCATCGAGACATTTCTGCAATCAAAACAATTTTTATCTTTTAGGATTGACTAGCCTGAATTTTGCATGTTGGAGTTTGATCAATTTTTTTTTTGTCAAAATACACATTGAAATAAATATCTCATGCTTTAAGAATAACAATGAGACAATGAAAAAACATGTTTCATTAAAGGATGAGATATGATCCCAAAAAAAAAATACAAAATGGAGTTCGGTGTACATGATTAACTTAATTATTGATATATATTGTTATTTCACTTGGCCCATTAATTATTTTAACACTATATAAAACTCTATTGAGCACCCTTATTTGTCATATGGCTCAATTATTTTCTTAGTGGGGCTCGTTATTTCATTTGACCCGTTATATATATATATGCTGGCCATGGAAAGGTGGTAAAACAATTAATGGGCCAAGTGAAATAACGGGCCCTACTAAGAAAATAATTGGGCCACACGACAAATTATTCAGTCGAGTTTTTCCAATTTTGATTTTTTTTAAAATTAAAAATAATTTTTAAAAAATAAAAAAATATTATTTTAATATATTTTCAAAAAAAAAAACTTTAAAAAACAACATTATCATTATTCTAAACACCCTATTCCTACCTATATTTCTCCATTTATCGTAGCTCTAAATATTAGAAATTAATCCTTTTCTTGTTCCAAACGGAGTAACACTTTACATAAATAATTTCATAATTTTATATTGTCGTAAGCTTCATTATCTTTCACCAATGGCATTAATATAATTCAACTTCATTAGCTTTTGAAGTTTTAATTCAAACTTCTGCTTTGTAACTAAAAAAACTCCACCATCTTTCTCTGCAACACAATGGTCATTTACCCACAGTAAGCTGATAGAAATATTATCAAATTTACTAGCAAGTGAATTGTACGGATAAAAATGGTAATTATGACCTCAATTTCACATGTATAAAAGGGATGGGTATATTTTGTTGGGAAATTGGTTTTAGATATTGGTAATGGAGATATTTAAAATTATATTAAAAATTAGATACTCATCTTTAAGTTAAGATTTTGGTGAAAAATATTTTCTGATATAACATAACAAGATTTTTAAATCTGAAAAAAATATTAAAAGATCAGAAGTTTTTCCAAGTAGCACGTTTTAGTTTATCCACATTACTAAAGATTTTTTTTTTTGTTAAAAATGATGTTTAGGCAGCACATATATGTTTTAAAAAGGCAAAGGAAATACACAACTCAAGTTATATACCAAAAAAGATTAAATAAGTTAGTTTTATTTTAATTATATAATAAAAAATAATTTAATGACAATAAGTGAGCAAAAAAAAATGATGACGATAACCTGAGAAAAAAATATTTTTGTAAAAAGGACAAAAGATATAGCTCAATTTTTAGCCCATTAAATATGAAAGGATGAAATTAGATAAAAACTAATGAAAAAAAAATCAAATCGAGACAATTCAAGTTAACATGATAAACTTGTAACTTGGATAATAAGGGGTAAGTCAACTTGAGTTAACCCGTCAAATCTACAACTTAGATAATGAAGTCAAGATAACTTGGTAGAAAAAAAAACATAAAAAATTACAAAGTTAAAAAAAAGAAGTCAATTCACATTAATTTTTCAAACCAGTGACTTAGGGTATTAGACCAAAAGCACCATATCTAAAAAAATCATAAAACTCAATTCTCAATCAATTAAATGTTGAAGGATTAACTTGAAAAATGAATATTAATTACACAAAAGGTTTCAAAACAAAAAATAACAATTTAAAAAATAGGGATCAAACTTCAAAAGAAAAATTAATTGAACAAAAGGACTAATTTTTTTTTAAAAGAGGATCATAATTGAAATAAAAAATTGATTAAATGGTGAAATTGAAAAGAAAAATCAATTCAACCAAAGACCCAAAAAGATAAAAAGAATGAGGACCAAATTAAAAAAAATAATATATTGCAAATTGAGATTAGATGATGAAATTAAAAGAAAATAATATTTTTATACAAAAATACCAAGAACAAAAATTAAAAATTGAATAAAATCTGCAGGTGAAACACCTACAATAAAAAGGTCACAATTATAATTTTAAAGGGAGGAAAGGGAGGGAGGAAGGGGAGGGAGGGAGAGAGAGAGAAAGAGAGTCTATCGATGACAAACTAGATCACCACCACTAACATGCACCACATCACCAGGAAAAGAATTAGTGCAGTGATGCTTCCCACAATATAGTGGAAGGATATTTTTGGATGCCGAAAGATATCATACTAACAAGTAATAAAGTAAATGAGTAGAGTATCGTCCTACTTTGATTTGCAAAAATTATTAATAAGTATCAAAATTATTAAATCCCTAACTATTTGATGATTCGATTATAAAAGTTTGTGAAACTAAAAAAAATTAAAAAAAACAAACAAATAAATAAAGTTGTAATTAAGTTTAATGGATTTTAGGATATTTGACTTTGTTGTAATAAATCATATGCAAATTTATCAATTGAATAATCCTGTCAAAATTTCTTTTTATTGTTGATAATCAAGTTTAACTAATTTAATCACTAATATTTCTCAATTGAATATTCTTATTGAAAATTCATTAGGAATGATAAAATCCTTAATGATTACACAAGTTTCATAAATGTCCCTATCCTATAGATTTCTTATGGTATTTCAAATAATGGTTGAAATAATTATAATTACTTCTGAGTCTCTAATTGAATCCCATCTTATGCAAAACGATAATCAAAATATACAAGCATTAAGTTCAGAATGAAGTACTCAATAAATACTAAATTAATTCAATCAAAACAATATTAGCATAATCACAATTAGGCTACATAAAAAAATCATAGAATAAATAACTAACTAAATAAAACTTGATATAATGAATATCACTCAAGAGTATGGGAAGATCAAAGAGCTGAACGTTTTAAAAGGGCTGCTGTTCTTGGCTCTTTTCTTTCAGTTATGATTACTTCTGCTACTAGATAATGTCTCCTCTTTCTTGTGTTTAGAGTATTAAAAAACATTCTTTAGCTACTTCCTATACAAGTATTTATAGCTTGACTTTATCCTTCAAATGAAAAGGAAATCATTTTCATTCCTTGTCATATATTCTGACTTTATTTTTTTTTCTAATATTGCAAGTTGATTTTGAGGTTAAAAACATGTGAATTGAGACTTATCTATTTTGAGAACAATTATAGAAAAGAAAAATTGCTTTCCAATGAAATTGATTTTGAAATTTTTGGATATTTGAAACTGGGAGATATGAGGAAAAAGCCAAGATAATGTCAAGATCACAAGGATTCCAAGTCTAATTTAGGCTTTGTATTTCAACTTTTTTCAAGCTTTAAAATAGCAAAATTAAACTCTTTTCATCACATAAGAATTATAGACCTATATCTCTACTTTTTAGAAAGATAAAGAATACATAAAACAAAGTTGTATAGCTTCTATTATAACTCAAAAACCAATTAGTGCTCAAGCTTGTCTAAAAGAGACAAATAATTCAAACAAAGTTGTTTGAACTCTAAGCTCCACTCATTATTTGCTTTCTTATATAATTTCAAATTCAACATACAAATAGTTAAATATTTGAAAAATATATTAAATTCTTATGAAATAAATAATTCTGAAAAATACCTAAAACTCAAGACAATTAGCTAAGAATCATACAAAATTCTCTAAAATAAAGTATAAATGACTAAAAATATATCTTCATATCATGTATTCCCCAAACTTTTTTTTATATATGTATTTGGTCATCTATCGAGGTTTTTCTAAAATATAATAATAAAAAAAATACCATTGTCAAGAGATGAGAAAGCCTCTTGACATTAGTTTTAAAAAATTTGTTTTTAAAGATATTTTGGTTGTTTTAGTGTTTTTATATATATATTTGATTAAATATTTTATTTTATTTTATGTTATTATGAAAATATAAAATTTTTCATTGATGCTTGTTTTAATTCTTTTTTTTTAGAATATTTTTATCTTTTTACTGTACATTTAAAATAAAATAAAATATATTTATCTTCGATAATTTAATAACAACCTGTGAAAATATCTAAATATATCCAATATCTAAAACGCGGACCAGAACAGCGAAAATCTCTCCCAATTACGTTTTGTATTAAATTAATACAAATTTTAAAATAGTAAAACACGAAGGCATCAAAGAGGAGGGGACCTAGCTTAATTGTAAAATAATTGTTTACCAGCCAATTAATTTAATACACAGTTGCACGTTATTCTTATTACTCTGCAAATATCTAGACAGGAGAAGAAGCTATTCGGTACACTTTCTCGTTGCTCGCCTCTTTCATAGCCTTCAGCTTCGGCAACTAATAACCACAGTGGCCTCTGGTCTCTAGTCACTGATCTCGAGCCTGCCTGATTATATTAAAAGATCATTTTTCCCAACACATGTATCTCGTCAACTCTCCTTCAACCAAAATCAGTGCGTTCAACTAAAATGACCTTACTTTCAGGAAAAAAAAAGATTCTTTCCCTGTTTATAGAAGCAAGAGATCAATTTGAACACAGCGACAAGGTTATTTGCCATTTTTATGTGGATTTAGAAACTGCATGAAAGTTCTCGAGTCCCCCCAAACCTTTCTGAATGATCTTCGTGTTACGAAGTTGCTCCTGACAAGGCACTGATCATGTGCATCGATCCATCCAAGGTATAACAACATAGTTCTTAAGCGACATCAGAGTGCTTCTTATTAACCCAATATTGAAAGGATATATAAAACAAAAACAGCTGAACATTTGCATATTCACATCAGAGTAGATTATCCATACAAACCATATTTACAAACTCTTATAGGCTTGCTGTCTTCCAAGAGCAGGTATATTAACAGCACCTTGTTATGTTTGTCATCAGCATCATCATCATCATCATCTTGTCTCAATAACCTCCATGTATGTATGCATTCAGACGGTCCAGCTCCTCCCTGTATTCATTCACCACGGCACGAACAACATCTCCAATAGATACCATGCCAATCATTCCCTTATCATCAATCACAGGAATGTGCCTAATGCGTTTATCTGCCACTCATTACAAGTTCCAAGTTTATAACATCTTTCATTTGAGAAAGTAATCAATAAACTAGAAAACAGTAACACTCCACAGTTCGCAATTTGTACACAATACCTGTCATTAATTGCATTGCCTTCAGAACTTTGGTATCATGCGTGACAGTAATAAGCTTGTTCTGCGGTCACCAAGCATGATTATGCAACCTGTGAACAACTTAATATAACCAACGTTTGCTCTTGTAAAGGCATCATACCTCTTCAGTCATGATATCCCCAACCTTGGTTGACTTGGACGATCTTCCCTGCACAATTATCTTCCGCAGATAGTCTGGAAGTTTTCAACAAACACGATATAATTTCAATTGGCAAGTACTAATGCCTCACACCACATTGTTTGGTGGTGGGGCCACCAATAGCATCATCAAAATTACAGTGGGAAATGGTGCCAAACCAAAGTAGTTGTCAGGCTACAATATTTGTTTTTCACAGAAACAAACTCGTACTTTGCATAATGAACAATGGGGACACCCAAACTCCTATTACAAAGCCTTAAATGAGAAATCGATTGTTACAACTTACAAGGAGGTAATTGGAAGCTGAGACTACTTTTAGAAAAAGAAGCATGTCATTGTGCGATTGAGATTACATCCTCCACTAGAAAGGGTTCCAGCGGTGGGACCTGGTTATGTTATTCAATGCCATCATCAAATTTTTCCACATGCCAGGAAAAATAAGAGCCAAGTGGTTCCCTGATTCCATTCAGAGGTTTCAGAAAGCAAGAGCTAAAAGATGCTTAGAATGGTTCTAAAGGCAGCCTGGAGAGCCCAATTAACTAATATACTAGGGCAATGCGTCAACACACACGCAGACATGCACCACTCATAGGAAATCCAACCATGACTGATTTCTTGCAGTCAAGTAGTTTTTTTTCCCCACAAGATAATAGAAGTTAAATGTCTCTCTTCGCAAAAAAGCACTACCATAATCTTCAGCACTATATGTCCTCACAGCACGAAAGGAATTTCTGATTGTAAAATGTATCTCTATTCAGACTCCTTGTCCATTGTGGGATGCCACATAACTTAAGAAGATATCACGAATTCGAAAATATGTAATTAAAACAAAGACGTGAGTAATCTAACAAATTGTAATTAAAATTAAAATACTGATTATTACTCAATTCATGAAGCGTGATAGACTATGAAATAAAATTCAACTACCAAAGGAGGAAACGGGAAGGAAGAGATCTTATAATCTTCAATGGAACTAGAATAAATATCATAATGTCCAACTGCCTTAAAAAAGGTTTCATGTATATGCAGAACTTCAGCCATAAGCTTTATGATGAGTATGAAGTTTTAAAGTACCCCTCTCTGTGATGATTCCTGCAATTGAATTCTGCTCACCATGTTTGACAACCACCAAGGCCCCAACGTTGTGATGTGTCATCTGGAGCGAAATGCTTTATCAGCTCAAAAGCTAAAGAAAAGTGGAATATGCACTAACGACAACAACCACCACAAATGCTCACACTGAAGCGAAGATGCTTACCGACTTGACAGCATCATAAACGCTGTCATCCGTAGTGCACCACAGCCATGAACCATCAGCACTCTTACCTTTTTCTTTGAGGATGTCAGCAATTGTGGTGCTCTCGAAGCCATGCTCCTCAATAGGAGCAGAGGAGACTGATTCAAAACGAGAAAACACAATGGGCCGCAAGACTGGACTCGAAACACGGAGATGTTGCAAGAGTGAATCCTTGACAACATTTCCATGGGTTAAAAAAGTGCGAAGCGCGCCTAGCATCTTTTTCTGTGATAAAAGAAAGGTTGTCCATAAAGAACGCATTAATAATAAGCACGTTAGCTAGTAGTAATTGCAAAAGGGTGAAAAATTAATTAAGATCCATATACAGTAGCTAGCTAGATAGCTACCCTGTCCATCTATTTATTCATCTAATTACTCCCTGAATGAATAGGAGTTTTTGATTTTTTTTTTATTATTGCATAGTTGACTAAAACAATTTACAAATCAGCACAACTTTTTAATAAGTAACAATTTTTTTTTTAATAAATTGCGCTACTAAAAATAATGTAATTCAATAAGTTGCGCTACTGGGTAGCCATTCACAATTTTTTCTTTTTTATACATTTGAGAGTCGTAAGCACAGCCTCCATAGTTTTTTTTTTTAGCAGATATTTTTTTTTTCTACTTGAAAAAATCAATTAATAAAGGATATGATATAATGTATAAGAATAAATTAGAAGTAATTGTTAATAATATCATGGAAGGTAGCGGTGGCAGTAGCATAGCCAGAAATGATGGCATACGGACAGGCAGGTAAAGGATTCATGATCAGTTAGACATGGATTAATTTGGAACTGAAGCTGGAATTGTAAAGAAAAGCAATAGCTAATTTGTTTTAAAAATGTTTTTCTATTTTTTTTTACTTTAGATTTTTTTTGATATTTTTAAATCATAAATAAATTTTTTAAAATAAAAGATATCATTTTAATATATTTTTAAATAAAAATACTAAACTATATCAAACACAACACTACTACTTTTTATATCTCAAGAGACCGGCTGACAAAGCTATCTATCTAATTGAGTTATATGTATTTAGTACTTAATTATGAACATGCTGCCTAAAATATAAATACTATAAATATCTAGTTGGTGATGTGATGTTATGAAAGATGATCAAGCTGTCATCAAGATCGATCTAAGATATATAGAGATGTGAAGCAGAAAGAAGCTGGAGATGATGAAGGATGGATACCTGATAGTGATTTAATCTTCAAGTCAAGAAGAAAGAAGACGAGGAAACAGCACCGAGGCAAACCAGGTAGCAGTAACAAGGTTAAGCCAGCAGCAGAGCTATCAGTTGGCCCGCCACTCTTTAATAAGGTTAAGATGATGGGATAAGATAAACTTTACCACTTTGAATAATATAATAATAACAATATTAGGATAAAGTATGGATAGATACAAAGCACTTAGAGCAGCAGCCATGGATTCTGGCGCAATTTGTTTTTAAAATTTTTTATTTTTAATACCAATGCATGAAAATCATCAAACATAATTAAAAATATTAATTTAAAAACTTTTAAAAAATTCAAAAATAAAAAAAGTACACTCCCACCATGCTACAAAAAAATGTCTAAAACCAAAGAAAAAAAATAAAGATTGTTTTTTTTTTTTTAAATGACACACTTTGGTAAAAGAAGTAGTAAAACAATACAAGTAGAAAAATTATTTGTACAAAATCAGATTTTCAATATTGGTTATTTAGTTAAAATCAATATCCATGTCTTATGCAAATTAATTAACCTCAATAAAAGTCTAAAATTTTATGAAGATAAAAAAAATATTAAATAATATTTATGTAGTCTTGTTTATTAATGGTAGAATAATATTTTCAGTTTAACCTATATATATTTTATTTGTATTTAGGTTAAGAATAATCACTCATAATATACAGATCATTCAGAATTCTAGTCTTCTTTTTTGTGTTTGATCTTAATTATTTTAATATGGTATTAGAGCTGGTTTTATGAAACGAAACTTAATTCCAAACACAGTTTTCACAGATTCAACTTTATGGTGAGTTGGCTTGAGGTTTGCAGGGGACAGTGCGCCCTTGTCGGGGTTTAGGGCAGAGTCCTGAAAATCTTTTGGAGTAATATTTTGTCTTTTGCTTTTGCAAAATTTAGTATTTCATCTTTTTTTTTCAGATTCTGTAATTTGATATTTGCGTCCAGTTTCTGCAATTATTTTTGTATTGGTATTTCATCTTCTCTTAAGTTTCTACAATTTGATATTTGCGTTCAGTTTCTGTAATTATTTTGGTATTTCATCAAGAAGATATTTATTTAGTTTCTACAATTTTTATTCAGTTTTTGTAATTTGATATTTTATTTTCTGCTGTTTTTGCATTCTGGTTCTGTATGACTGTTGATTATGGCTACTAAAAGAGATAATTCGCTTTAGTATATGAGTATGAGGTTGGATAAGAAGAACTATTCATATTGGAGTTACGCAATGAGAAATTTCTTTAAGGGTATGAATATGTGGGGGGATTTTAGTAAAACTTATATGATATCTAAGAATATTGACGAGGGGGATGCTATTTTGATAAATAAATACGAAGCAAATAATGCAAAGATCATTACTTGGATCAATAATTCTGTTAAGCATTCGATAAGTATGCAGTTGACAAAATATAAGACAACAAAAGAGGTTTGAGATATTAGAGAATGACATACGAGCTCTTCATAGGAAAATATGAATATTCAAGAGTTTTATTATGCTCTGATAGATCTTTGGGATCAGTTGACTCTTTCAGAATCGGCAGAATTAAAGACATATGGTGTCTATATTGAGCGTAAATAGCTGCAATGATTGATACAGTTTTTAACAACACTTTATAATGATTTCAAAGGACTTAGAGGTTTAATTCTGCATCGTTCTCCATTACCTTCTGTTAACTCTATTGTCAGTGAGTTATTGGCTAAAGAAATATGCCTTTAGTTTTATTTAAAAAAAAAATGAATTCTTTATGCTTCAAATCCTTCTATACTAGTAGTACTTTTCTATCCATTCTCTAATCATTAGAACAAGCTTTACACAAGGGTTGACTTCGATGAGTGTAGTTTCTATAAGCAGAAAGATCATTGAAAGACTCAATGTTCTAAGTTGAGACAACAAAATCAAGCTTGAAAGCTTGATAGTAAGTCATAATCTAATGCTTATAGACCACTTTAGGGTTATAAACCACCACACCACAATACCATAATAGTAACTTCCTTAGGCTCTATTAAAGATCCTAATACTGTGGCTGAGTAATTTTAGAAGATTATCTCCTTACAGCCATAAGCAATGTCCGTTTCTTCTTTTATAGGTTAGTTGCCTCATAATTTCTCAAGTATGTCACACTCTAAATGAGTTTTGAATTCTGGTGCATCCCATCATATGTCTCCAGATTTCTTATATTTTACTTTTGTGTCCCCTTTGACCTCCATTCCTATTATGATTGTTGATGATACTTTTAAACCCTTAACAGGTGTTGATTTTGTTATTACACCTCACTTGTCTCTTCCTAATATTTATCTTATTCCAAAACTTAAATTGAATCTTGTGTCTGTTAGTAAAATATGTGATTTTGGTGATTATTTAGTTATGTTTTCTGGTTTTTTTTTTTGTTGTGTACAAGAATTGCAGTCTTAGAAGCTATTTGGGATAGGCTGTAGGGGAATGAACTATATATTTTAGATGAGTTAAAAGTGTCAGTTGTTGCCACTACTGCTACTATTGTTGATTTGTCTTCCTTTCATTTGAGTATTTCATCCTCTAGTTTTCATTTATGGCATTCCTGTCTAGATCATGTTTCATCTTCTCGTTTGAATTTTTTGGCATCAAAATGAGCTTTAAAAAATTTGAAAACTTGTGATATTTTTTATTGTAGTGGATATACACTAGTAAAATTATTTGCTTTATCATTTAATTGAATTATTTCTATTTTTTCTTCACCATTTAATTTGATTGATTATGATTCATTAAGGATTCGGGGTTCGGGGTTCGAGGTTTTAAGGTTCGGGGTTTCGGGGTTTCAGGGTTCGGGTGTTCAGGGGTTCGGGGGTTCGGGGTTTTGAGGTTTTAGGTTTAGGGTTTTGGGTTTTGGGGTTTTGGGGTTTTGGGTTTTGGGTTTTAGGGTTTAGGGTTTAGGGTTTTGGTTCTGGGTTTTAGGGTTTCGGGTTCGGGGCTCGGGGTTTAGGGTTTTGGGTTTTAGAGTTTAGGGTTTTAGGTTTAGGTTTCAGGTTTCGGGTTTAAGGTTTTTTGCATTTAGGGTTTAGGGTTTTTA